TCTTTAAAGAAACATATACAATTTATACATTTATAAATATATAAATGCAATGAAATGTATAACAAAATGGAAAAAAGTTCAAGTTGTTGTACAATGCAAAAAACATCAGAAAAATTATAATTTATATAAAAACGATATGCATTAAATAGAGGGAAAAAAAAAGATCTCATAATCAATAGATTAATTAAAACAGCTGATGTGATCTTAAATAAATAAATTTAAGGAAAAAATTAATAAAAAATTCATATTGCTAAAGTTAATATTTTAAGATTATTTAAGATTATTGATTGGCATTATTTTATATACTTTTTATATAAAGAAATAACGTATTTATATATTAAATTTAAAAAAGAAAAACATTTTTATTATATGATCTTTATATTTTTATATGATTTTTATAGAAATAAATATCTATAAGGTTATAAATAAATTTTAAAATTTGAGGATCTATTATAAATATTTTAAATATGAAATTCTATTTTAAATATGAAATTCTATTTTAAATATGAAATTCCTTGAACTTTATATACCTGATCCCTGAAAATGAATTCAAGTTTGAAGGAATCGAACCACGTTTGATAATCCAAAAAGAAAAAAGTTCTAATAGAATCATGCTCGAAGCGATCGAAATGTTTCAAAGTACATGTGTAATTATAATATACGCACTTTGAACTTCCAATAAATACACAAATGCTATCGATATAATTTTTTTCTCTTAGGTTAGTTAGGCACATCTGTTATCGTTCTTTTTTCGTTCTTCTACCTCCAACGTCAACTGAGAACTCACTTTCAACGCACTTTCATTATTTCTTTCTAGCAATAGGTATCCTCTTGAAAGTTTCGTATTCAATTGTATAATATGAATTTGAAAAATTGAAAAATTAGTCAAATTATTCCCTCTTTCAAGATACTTCTTTCTTACAACAATTTGCCACCAGGAGGAAATAAGTAATAATAACTGTTGACTCTGCAAATAACAAACTGAAACTGATCTACTCTTAATCCAACATAATATGGTATAAAATGGATGACGCAACATTTTTGCAACATTGCAAATTGCATTTTTTTAAATAAAATACGATGAAATAAAATGAATAGGAGGGAGTGGAAGGAAGAGAGATCAAGTAAAAAATATCCATAGAGAGTTTAAGTAATCCATGAATCTTTCGAAAATAAAATATAAAACAATTCTTGGACGAAATTACAATGTTAATTACGATAAATGATAATGATGCACATTTTGACTGCCATCATGATATATTTGTATAAAATAATATATGTACAAGCAGCAGAATGTTATATATATTATTGTTATGAATATATAAATATATAAATTGTATAATTTGATTGTATAATAAAATATATTTATATTTCGAAAATTATAAATACTAACTAAAATTTTATATTTATAATTTTTCTCAAAACTGTTTCAAAATTACATTTCAAAATGATTAGATCATACAACTGTATTATTATATTTATTACAATTATTATATTTGTTTACAATTGTGGATCAGTATTTTCCAACTTTCTTTGAATTGCAATATTTCCTTTTGTTTCATATTCAAATAACTTTTGGGATAAAATGAATTCAATAATTAATAGTATGTATGTAAATTTTGCGAACAAGTGACAATCTAATTTTTTTTACATATAGAGAATACGATATCTTAAAAATTCGTCTGGACTTGGAACAAACAACCATCTTTATCTTATGTTATCAAAAATTTGAAGACCTACGTCAACTAAATATATCCTGTTCATTTTTGTAAACATAATAACCTAAATAAATAATCTAAATCGTCTGACCACTGTTTTTGATCATTTTTTTTTTCTTTTTTTTGCGCGCCCGATAAGAATTTAGTCTCGATTGCACAACTTGCAATTAACGAGAATTTTTTTCATTCCTCTGATCTATTCCCGCAAAATACCTAATCAAATTAAAGATATATCTGCTTTCATATCGTTTTTACGATCAATCCTTGTAATTTTTTCATTTTCGATATATAATTTGATATTGTCCTTACGTTTATTTCTCGAAAGATTTCATTTACATAGAGGTATATATTGCGTATCGCAATATTATCGATTATATCAAATTTCACGATCCAACCAACGTTAAAAGCAATGCTAAGTTTCTGAAGAAAAATATCGTATGTAATTGCGATTGCGAGACAACAAATATCGACATCGCGAGATAACGATTATCGATATTTTATTACGAGAAAATTCATTCGATCGAACCTGTCTCGAGCATGCTCGCATTGACACTCATAAAAGTGAATGAACTTTCTCTGTGTCGAATGTGAATAAACTTCTTACTCTCGATGGATACGAATCTAAATCATTAATCCTTTTTGCTAATACGATTAAATATGGTGCTCACTCTTTTTCTATAATTCAAATTATTCGTAAATAAATATTCTATTTTACGTAACTGTATGTTTTAAACACAAAAATAGAAAATAATTTGCAAAAAGAAAATTAAATGGTAATTGATTTCATTATGTAATAACTTTTGAAATTCTCAATTTGAAAAGTTATGAATTAATATAACCGTCTATCCATTTTTTAAAACATTTTTTAAAAAATGATTTTGTAGAATCAAGTTACTATTTCATAGCTACTATTAATTATAATCTTAATCGATAATGTTATTTAAAATTTTTTTTCGATAAGTTCCTTCGAGAATGGAAAAAGATATTAAATAAATATTCTAATACATAAAAGTTAGTTGAAAGAAAGAAATTAACACTAATGATATAACACAATGTCAAAATCTGAGGTCATTCCAAAGAGTTTGCAAAACTATTTTAAAGGATAAATAAGTCTCTGACATCGGTATATCATCGTGATATTCGATATTCGAACATAATAATTTTATCATGAGTTCGCAAAGTTCGTTCATTGTTAGATTTCGTGTGTTATGTAACTTGGGTTATTGATCTCATCGAGTCTTCTTATTTATTCTTTTTAAAGCAAAAAAATAAATTATATGAATCTCTACAAATCTCAATTAAAGCAAAGCAAAGCAATAAAATTAATAATAATAATATCAGTTTGCTTTTTCATTCTTGTAATTTTTCTTCTAATCTAATGAGAATTTTTCGTTAGTCGAACAATGTTATCGTATGTATTATGCTATCTTTATTATCGATATTAATATTATTTTCTTAAAGTTATATATCTTTAATTTTTAAATTCATTCTCGTGTAATTCAATGTCTGACATTTCCTGTACTCGTAAATTAAATTTACATTTACGATCAATTAAAATTATTTATTTTGAAAAAAAGTTATTATTTTTCCAATAATTCATGGAAATGAAGTAAATCATTGTTGTTCTTTATAATTTGAATATCGTAATAATAAGTGTAAAGCGATAGATCGAAAATTAATTTTTTTAAGTATATTTTATTATATGAATTTATCAAAATGATTGATAAAAAGGAACGTTAATTTTAAAATAAATAATCAATTTATTATATTTACGCCAATTATTACTTGTGTACAGATAATGGGATCACGTACGAATTTTTAGCGGCAATTTTACAACAAATAATTCCTCCTCCAATAAATATTATTTTTAAATATATAACATTCATTCAAAATTATTCGTATTCGAAATTTATTCATATATATCCTCATAGATACTCCAATTAATTTATTTCTCATGATATTAATTAATTCTTTCGTCACGTATCAAATAATAATAGCTATTATTTATTAAAATATTCCTAATTTTATTAATTTTTACGTTAAAAAAATTAATTAATCAATTTTGAATTCACTCAAAATATGACTTTACTAGAAAAATTATTTTTAATACATTTTTGTATCGAATTGCGTAATTACATCGATCGAATCGTCTAAATTGCACCCTACCCTATCTTTATCAACGATTAAAAGAGAAAAAAAGCGTAAGATAAACCGTCTACTTTCACCACCCTCGCGACCTTACCCTAAATCGACCCGAACGATACACATTATCGATCTGTTTTATCGAAGTCCAACGATTTCGAATTCGAGTATATAAACTGGTGCCTGGCCCGGTCTCTTCCAACTACGGTTCAACGAATGATCGTGATCATGAAGGCCGGTTTCCTATTTTTCGCGAGTCTCTGCTTGCTTGCCCAGGCGGTGCCCAACAAAGTCGCCGACAAGACATATATCACCAGGCAGAAGAATATTTACGAACTCTTCTGGCACGTGGATCAACCGACCATTTACCATCCGGAACTCTACCAAAAGGCGCGCACTTTCAATCTCGTTGAAAATCTCGACAACTACAATGACAAAGTAAGTAAAAATAAATGAAGATTTTAACAAGCTTGAAGTATTTTAATAAGAATTGATAACAATTTGTTGGAGAATGATTTAAGACTAAGTAGAATTTGCTATTTTTTATTGAGTCAATGCACATATGTTAATATATAAGTATTTGGAGATCTTTGGAAACTCGATTCTTGAGCATGAAATAAAATGGAAAAATTGGTCAGTTGAGGCAATTGTTTATCAAGTTAAACAATTGAAATTGGCGTTCAATAAAGCAAAATGAATGAAATTATTCTAAACAGAATAAAATTATTTTAAACAAATAAATTATTAATAATAATAAATATTAATAATTATTTATTAATAATAAATAAGTTTTAACTGGTATTTTTTGCGTATCAATTTTTACCTTCTAGAGAATATATTAACACTGTGAACACAGAGTAAGGTTTAAACTATACAAAAATACTGTTGCTTATGCCAGAATGTATATAACGCATATTATAAAAATTATTATTAATATTCCCTATATTACAACCAATTATCGATTATACGTATAGAAAAATATTGTTTAATGAATCAAGAATCATTGAAATACTTGTGTTTCTGAACATTTGATACCAATAAAATATCCTATATCATCATGAAATTACTGTAAACGAAAGTTTTTTTTCTTCTTTTTCATTTTTGAGTCTGCAATTCTTTTTTCTTGTTTAATAATAGGAAGCGGTGAACGAGTTCATGCAACTCTTGAAACATGGAATGCTTCCACGTGGCCAAGTGTTCACGATGATGAACAAGGAAATGCGCCACCAAGCTGTGGTGCTTTTCCGTCTTCTGTACAGCGCCAAAACATTCGACGTGTTCTATAACACAGCTGTCTGGGCCAGATTCAACGTAAACGAACAAATGTACGTGTATGCGTTAAGCGTAGCCGTGATCCACCGTCTTGATACCAGATTGATGAAATTGCCGCCATTATACGAGGTGATGCCACATTTATTCTTCAATGATGACGTCATGCAGAGAGCTTACAACATCGCCATGGGTGACACAGGTTGGCTATGCAGAAATTTTTTATTTTTTATTTTTATTTTTATATACAAATATATATGGTAAACTTTGAACGAGTGATTAAAAGAAATTTGATGAACACTCGTAGAGTGATAAAATTGAAATTTAATCGATGAAAATTCTTGTTTAATTTTGAAACTTTAGTAAGATAGAAAGTTTCATTCGAATTCTTTCAATTCTGAGTTCTGTACGACTCAACAAAAATTTCAAGTTTAATGAACAGAGATATTTATCAATCTTTAGCCTGTATACGTGATTTTGTCCAATTTTAGAAAATTTGGGAATTGAAAAATTTGGATGAAAAATATTTTTATCGATTTTATTTGAATTTTTTCAAATAAAATTTTGAACGTATATCTATTCTTATATGATTTAACCAAATTGTCTTGAAGACAATGAATAGAATATATTTAGATCGTTTCGAAAACTTATTTAACTTTAATCAATAATGAGTCTATTAAATATTATTTAATATTATAATTTTATAATATATAATCTTCTATTCTTTCTTTTATTCGTATATTTAAGAATAAATTTTCGCAAAATGCAAAATTTATAGCACATGCGAAATAAAATTAATTAATTAATTCTTTATGAAAGAAAGAAACAGGTTAATTTTTGAAATTAAAAAAATTATTTATAAAAATTTTCTTTCATTTTTAATAGTTGACATGAAGAGGACTTATAACAATATCGATTATTACTTACTTGCGGCGAATTACACCGGATGGTACTTGACCAGACACAACGTACCCGAGCAGAGATTAAACTACTTCACCGAAGATGTTGGCCTTAACCATTTCTACTTCATGTTCAACCACAATTTTCCACCTTTCATGCTTTCAAACTCGCTCAACTTTCCACAAATTCGCGGTGAATTCTATTTCTTCCTCCATAAGCAGCTATTGAATAGGTACGTTACTTTACCAACCAAAGAATAAAATATTTTTATAGAAAGTTTCAACTTTCCTGCAAATGTGAAAAATAATATTCTCTCTGTAAGAAGCATAATACAACGACATCTACGAATTAAAATTCATATCGTAGATACTACCTTGAGAGACTTAGTAACGACATGGGTGAGGTTAGTTACGTGAGCCTAGATCATCCCATACCGACTGGATACTATCCCACCATGAGATTCCGCAATGGACTTGCCTTCCCTCAGAGGGAAACTGGTGCTATGGTTCCACTCCATATGCAGAAATATGTTCAAGTAAACACGTTTCTAAATATTAATAATAATATTATGAGATAAATTGACGAGAGAATAATTATTTCATTCAAATTCTATGTTATAGATGATCCACGATCTCCATACCAGAATCTCAACCGCCATCGATCTTGGCTACGTTGTAGACGCGTACGGCAACCACGTCAGCTTGTACACGAAGCAAGGACTGAACGTTCTTGGTAACGTCGTTCAAGGTAACGCAGACAGCGTTAATGTACAATTATACGGACAATTGGACCAGCTCGTGAGAAAAGTCTTCGGTTTCGGTTACGAATCCAATGTCAAATATCAAGTCGTACCATCCGCTCTTCAAATGTGGTCTACCAGCTTGAGGGATCCCGTATTCTTCAGCATCTACAAGACCATCGTTGATTATTATCACAAGTACGTGTTATTCCTCTATGAGATCTCACGTTGTTCAATTCATTAATTTCCATTGCACTAAAAAAAAAAAAAAAAAAAAAATTACAATTAATCGAAAGCATACGCATTCTTATTATAGATACAAAGAGAACCTTCCGAAGTACACCACGGAAGAATTAAACTTCCCAGGTGTAAGCATCGAGTCCGTGTCCGTGGACAAACTCACCACTTATTTTGATCATTTCGAGTCCTTGTTAAACAATGGAGTGTCGGTTCAAAGTCACACAAAAGCCAAGAACACCATAATCAAAGCTCGACAATACAGGCTGAACCACAAACCTTTCACCTATCACATCATCGTGAACAGCGACAAAAACATCAAAGGTGTAGTCCGTATCTTCCTTGGACCGAAATACGACGAGTTCGGTCATGAAGTTGACCTCGTGCACAATTATATGAACTTCATGCAGTTGGACGAGTTCGTGGTTAACCGTACGTATCATCTTTATTGTTTACAAATTATACAAATAAGAACAGTTTTTCTTGTATCTGTTACGTGTATTCTATTGTTGGAAAGAAGTGCCAAGAAATAATGAATGCGGTTAAAACATGTTTATTTTGACATGAATTTTTCTTTCTAATGTGCTATTTATAGAGAAGTTTTTATAGAGAAGCAATTTTTTTATATAATTTTATAGTTGAAAATAATTATGTGTTACTTTTACAAAAAGATTCCTCTATTTTATATATTAATAATCTTCTAGTAGCTTGTGATATCAGAAAGCTAAAAAATAATTAAAATTTCGAATAAAATTACTTTAAGTAATAATTTTATTAGTTATTATAGTTGATCCACTTACGGTTATTCTATATATACTCTAAATAATAAATTGTCGAAGTAACTTCAATCGTTAAAATTTTGTCCATTTACTCTAAAGTATTCTACTCTAAAGTAATTTTTATCAAGGATAAAAATAGTCAATTCTTTGCCATCCCTCGAAACTTTTTTTTCATCAGAACACTCGTTACTCCTTTCAGCACCTAACTTTTGAGCAATTTTCCTTTCACGAGAACAGAACTCACTCATTCAACGCTTTCGATTTTTATTCGCAGTGAAAAGCGGAAGCAACACGATCGAGAGAAATAGCCACGAATCCATCTTCGTCGTCCCCGACGAAGTTCCCAGTGATGTGCTGTACAACAGGCTGGTGGTCAGCGAGGACGGTAACGAGTCCTTCAAGTATTCTTCGCAGCCTTACGGCTTCCCTGAGAGGCTTCTTCTGCCCAAGGGCAAGAAAGAAGGTATGCCGTACAATCTGCTCGTGGTCGTTTCGCCATTCGACGAGTTGAACGTCGTCCAAATAGACTCCCCTGTATGGGGCCGCAACATTTACGACGGACGTCCTATGGGCTTCCCTCTGGACAAGCCTGTCGATCCTTTGCTTTTCGCCCTGTCCAATATCCACGTCACGGAGGTCCTCGTTCATCATAGGGAGATGGAAGAGTTGAACGTTGCCCTGTAAACGTGTAGAATTTAATACGTAGATTCAATCTTTCTTTCCTTTACTTTTTTCTTTTTTAAATTATTTGGAGTAGAAAAAAAAAAAAAATTCGTTTAAACGAGAAAGGAAGAGAGATGTAGAGAGAAAAAAGAGATGTACGAACGAAATAAAAAGATATGAAAATTATAAATTTTTTTTTTAATTCTTGCGCTCCTGTTATCCCACCACGTGGAAGAAATTATATATTTATAAATATTTATAAATATTTATAAATTATTATTATATTATTATATTATTGTTATATTTATAAATTATTATTATATTATTATATTATTAAATATTTATAAATTATTATTTATAAATAATTAAGTCATTTGTTATTTGTTAATAACAAGCATATGGAAAATTTGTATTTTTGCAGAAAGGTATTAGAGTTCGAGGTGAGTTATGAGTTAGAGATAATTTATAAGTAACTCTTTTAAATTTCGTGTTATTAATTTATCTGTAAAAATTGATTAAAAAAAAAAAAGTTTGAACAACAGATAAACATTATCTAATATTAATTTTAAACGTGATAAACATTTATATTTCATATTATTTGAAAGAAAATGTGCAATTAAAACAATGAACAAGAAACAAATCAAACAAATAAAACAAATAAAAAAGGATACGTTAATTGCAAAAATGATTTTTATTTATATTTAAATGTTCTAAAAATTAAGATATTTTTTAATTTAATTAATCATTATAATTAATCATCGTTTCGACGATAGTATAAATTAAAGATTATTAATTATTAAATTTTCAATAATTAAAAGATCAAATTATTAGTATACGTATATGCAAGGATCTAATAAATTGAATATCCATCGGTACGACAAAACAACAGCTGTGCAGACAAGAGGATTTCATTTCCGGCATAAATCACATCGAAATTATCATCAGGAGACAATAGTATCCCTTGACTATAGTGAATTATTAACCAATACAGGCTGATAATGGGAAGAAAACTGTGATCTCGAGTAAGAGCAAGTGTTTCGCACGATAATTGCAATCGAGCAACGATAAAACGTTTTTATATATTCTTTATATATTCTTATATGTATCTTAATGTTGTAATGATATATGATTACGAGAAAATATTTACAACATAAATAGTTACGCAGCGATAAAGATAAAACCAATCCTGTATATTTATATATGTGTGCTTTAACTTTTGATTTAAAAAAATCAGGATCATTGTCAATTTTTAATATTTTTCGTATTTTTTTTTTTTTTTTTTTTTAGTAAAATTTAACAACAGAATTAACAGAATTTTTATCAATTATTGATACATTTCACGCATATCGATAATTTATACATCATGACACGTTAAATCTTATTATTCTTTGTTATAGTTTCATGCGAGTCGATATGAATCCAATTGAAAATATTTGAAATTTATTTGAAACATTTATGCGTACGTATCACCACATTTAAAGAAAAAAATTCTGGACGTTTAATAAAATCATCAAAAAATAAAAGATAAAAAGTAAGTTGCTATAATTAAAGCAAAAGGAGAGAGTAAATCGAATTATTCGTATGAATGTATACGTGTATTTTAGTGATTAATAAAAATAATAATAAAATTTAAATATTGTGTCTAATAAATTTCATAAATTCAATCTAATAAATTTTACTAAAAACATGAAAAATTGAAAATTGCAAGTGATTCTAATTTTTTGGTCAAGGATTGCATATTATATCCAAATTTATCATCTCTGCTTACAATATCGATATTCTTTATTTTTTTTTTTTTCAATGTTTTTATAAATTCTTATTTTTCTATGTAATTATTTTTACGTAAAACACAATATAATTCTGTGAATTTGTACTTTTTTTCGTGAATACAATATTCGATGAATTTGGATTTTATTTTCTTAATTTTAAAAGAGTCTTTTTAATATTTAATATTATCATTTAATATTATATTAAAAATGTATAAATATATAATTAAGTTATTAATTATAAAATCAAACGAAGATAAAAAACTATGTAAAGTTATAGATTGTTATTGGGCTATTCTTATCCCATGATGATATTGACTTGCAGTAAACATAATAATTGTTATTCGATTTTAGTATCGAGAAGTTGTATAATAATTCTCTTTATCTTTCAAAAAATTTATTTTTCAATCGACTTATCGACATTATCTTGTGATTATTTTATTCCTCTTAATTTAAATCGCATAAAAAATAATCTTCATTGACCTTCGCTGTCATGTAACTTTATTTTACGAAAATGTATAATTACATGCATATCCTTATTAAAACTTTAAAATTTTGTCTAAAATTTATTTCATATGAAATTTATTTTTCCTTCGTATCGTCGATATAAATTTTATTCGACGAAAGTTACGATTCGAAATTAATAACAATTATTCATCGAATAATTGACACGAATTAAAAATCATCAAGATACTTCAATAAGATACTTTTATAAACGTAATTATCTTAAAAATTAATCTCATTCGTAATAAACGAAAATATAATTTTTTTTTTCGTCCAATTACAAGTTATAAACGTTCACGTTTTATCTATATGGATTAACAATGTAGCTTAAACTAAATTATAGTTCCACATATGGTATTATTCATCCAACATAAAAAAATCAACTAAAGGATTACAAATTTTATCGATCAAATGGAAATTTACGTTATTTGATTTGGTAAATGGGAAATCGAAAAAGCAAATGGAACAACGAGGGAGAAAGAATCGAGAGGGAGGGGATGAGAGTATGAGGGTATAAGAGTAGCCACGCTTCAAGCATCTCCACTCTCAGATTCTGTGGTTTTCATCTTCTCGAAAATATGTTTATACCGTCACAAGTGTGGCTGGTTGGCTTATTGGCCTTCAGTTTAGTCGGTGCAGAATATTACGACACGAAAACAGCGGACAAGGACTTCCTGTTAAAACAGAAGAAGGTGTACAATCTGCTTTATCGCATCGCTCAACCAGCTTTGGCGAACATTACATGGTATAATGAGGGTCAAGCATGGAACATAGAAGCTAACATTGATTCGTACACTAATGCGGTGAGTAATCGTAAAAATTAAACAGAATGAATCGCAATCTCTTCGATCAAATGTTATTCCTAAATGTTTATAACATTTTAAAAATTATTCTATGATTAAGTAAAAAAATAAGAAGCTTTTAAATTTTAAAATTCTGAATTTTGCCAAGTGATAGTTTCATTCATAAAAATACATTTAGAAAGATATAAAAAAAGTTTGCCAAAATTATTGGCAAAATAATATATAAATATATAAAGAACGTTTTAAAAATTATACTCGTGAATTTTCAGGCTGCAGTAAAAGAATTCCTTTCGATATACAAACATGGAATGCTTCCACGTGGAGAATTATTTTCTCTCTATTATCCGCAACTTCTTAGGGAAATGATAGCTTTGTTCAAATTGTTTTACCATGCGAGAGATTTCGAAATTTTCTTCAAGACAGCTCTCTGGGCGAAAAATAACATAAACGAGGCGCAATACGTATACGCTTTGTACAGCGCCGTGATCAGAAGGCCGGATACCAAATTCATTCAATTGCCACCAATCTACGAGATATGCCCTTATTTCTTCTTCAATTCAGAAGTATTGCAGAAAGCTAACCACGCTCTGATTTTTGGGAAATTAGGTAATATATACGTTTTTGTTTTTAATAATTTTCGAAAAGTTTATACGAAATTTTCTTCAATTGTACAAGATGAATGATGATTCTCTTTGATTAATTAACTCGTTCGTAATGTTGTTGCTTCTTAAAAGTGATTCTATAATCATCGAAAAACAATGCTTATACAATTTTTTTTTGGAATTTTAACTTTGCAAAGGAATAATTTTATATATTAGTAGAATCTTTGACAAATATTTTATTCCAATATTTCCAATATTTTATTCAAATATGTAGAAAAATTGAAATAATAAAATATTCTAATTTTTTTTCGTTTAAAGTTTCGAATCTTTTAAATAAAGATTCGAAGAATTATTTTACGTATAAATAATTAAAATGATAAAAATAAGTAGATATATATAATTACATTTTTATCTCAATAAATATTAATTTTATAAAAAACATTTTCCTCTTTTCAATACAATATACAAAATAAAAATTACGAATTCTGTCACATTTTTGGTTATGTCAAACAACAAAATATTCAAATACTACTATATTCGTGATCGAAATTATTTGATTCCAGACACAAAAACAACTGGGGAGTACAAAGAATACATAATTCCAGCAAACTATTCGGGCTGGTATCTGAATCACGATTACAACTTGGAGAATAAACTAAATTACTTTATCGAAGATATCGGGTTGAATACTTACTACTTCTTTTTGCGTCAAGCATTCCCATTCTGGTTACCATCGAAGGAATACGATTTGCCGGATTATCGTGGTGAAGAATACTTATATAGCCACAAACTATTGTTGAACAGATATTATTTAGAAAGGCTTTCCAATGATTTACCTTATCTCGAGGAGTTCGACTGGCAGAAACCATTCTATCCTGGTTATTATCCTACCATGACTTATTCTAATGGATTACCATTCCCCCAAAGGCCGATCTGGAGCAACTTACCCATCTACAAATACAAATACATCAGGGTAATCAAAAAAATTCGAGTGTTTCTAGATTTTTTTAACAAGAATTATTCTATCAATATTTAGATTATTAAATGATTGAATATTATCCAGAAATGTGAGAACATCCGTTAACTAAAGATTCCTGAGATAATTTTAAGAAATTATTTCCTTTTTTCCATTTTCCTTTTTTTTCTTATTAACAAAAAATATTAACCAATCACAAAGCATGTAACCTAATCGAATAGCGTTGGCTATGTGTGGCCGAGTATGAACAAATCCAAACAACAAATATCGAAGAAAATACGTTCTTATCGAAAATTATATCGAATTATATCACAAACAATGAATAACTATACATGATTAGGCCAATGTTAATAAAACTGTAACGAAAATTTTCACAAAGAAAAACATTGCTTGAAATTACCTCAAGAATTTTCCAGTTAATGAATACATTTTTGAGATAGCCTGTATATAAAGAATATGTTAATATATACGCATACTCTAGAAATCATTCGATCAATCCGGTTAAAGCAATTTTAATTTCATTGAAGGAAATTATGAACAAGGAATCGAGAATATCGGCAGCAATCGATTCTGGTTATATTCTGAATAACGATGGAAAGTGGCATAATATTTATAGCGAGAAAGGTTTAAACATTCTTGGAAATATAATCGAAGGTAATGCCGATTCGTACAACAATGAATTCTACGGTAGCATCGATACCCTCGCGAGGAAAATCCTTGGTTACAATTTAGAAGCAGCAAGCAAGTATCAAATTGTTCCTAGCGCCTTGGAAATTTTCTCCACATCTATGAAAGATCCCGCATTCTATCGAATCTATAAAAGAATAACTGATTATTATCATAGGTAATTAATTTTAATTTCTTTTAATAATTTTAATTCTACAATATATCCTATAATTTTAAATAAATTTAACAATAATAAATTATTAAATCTAAATATATTATTTCTTATATCATTTTTCAGAATTTTTAACGAAGAAAAAAATAAGATCATTTTAAAAAGAAAATCGTTTTAATTTGTAATGAAAGAACATAATATTTTATATCGATTTAATATTATGTTTGTTTCCAGCTACAAAATGCATCAGAAACCGTACAATAAAGATGAAATTATTTATCCCAACTTGAAAATCGAATCTTTTACCGTGGATAAACTGATTACGTACTTTGAACAATTTGATACAACGATCAACAATGGATTGTTACTTGAAGAGCAAAGAAACGATAATAAATTGTTTTTAATTAAAATTAGACAGTATCGTTTAAATCACAAACCATTTAACTTCCATATTACTATTAATTCTGATAAACCAATGAAAGCAGTCATTAGAATTTTTATCGGACCAAAATACGATTCGCATCACAAACTGATCGAAATTCCAGAAGATCTGAAATACTTTTACGAAATTGACAATTGGATGCTAGATTGTAAGTTTGTTCATTTTTACTTCTCTCTATCAATTTCATTTATTTATTCAATTATAAAAAAAAGAATTAAAATAATAACTTTCATATTCTCTTTATAATTATTTTTTATATTATTTTCAACAGTGAATTCCGGTTTGAACAAAATTACACGTAACAGTTTAGATTGTTTTTTCACGATGAATGATCTAGAACCGAGCGAGATATTCTATGAAAAGATCGAAACGTCTCTCAATAGTGACAAACCATTCACTTACAATGAAAGAATTTTTGGATTCCCAGGAAGATTGTTATTGCCCAGGGGCAAAAAGGAAGGAATGCCATTCCAACTGTTTTTATATGTTAGTCCAGTCTCTTCGGAATATAATCAATACAATTCGAGAATATGGGGTGATTACAAATTTGACAAGAGACCGTTTGGTTTCCCGTTAGACAAACCTCTTTATAATTTCAATTATGATGGGTCTAATATGTTGTTCAAAGATATTCTTATTTATCACAAGGATGAATTTGATATGAATATTACTTATTAATTATTTTCTCTTTTCATTTGTATCTTTCGCGTTTATTTTTATAATATTATAATTTTGTAATAAATGTTTGCTTCTTTTATCTCCCAATATATTTTATTTTGTTCATCTTTTTATATGTAGATGCGTATATTTTTATATCGAATATAAAATTATAACATATAAATAAATAAAGAAATAATTAATAAATAAATAAGTAGATTATTAAATGAAGATTATAAATAAATGAATAATTATTATAATATAATATATAATATATAAAAAATGTTAAATTAATATATATTAAATATTAATTTAAAATGTTAGAATAAGTAATTGATACTATTCTGCGTATTAATAGAATTTATTCAAATGTTTGATTCCAATAATTTATTATGAAAATTTCAGAAAAAATTTTACTCAAATTTAGTTTTATATAGCTATAATTCTTATGTTAAAAATAATTGACTATCTATAATATATAATAATAATTAGCTAATGTTATCTTTTAAAAATTAAAATATATTTGATTTTGAGAAATGTTGAATGTGTGTTTAATTAACGTACCTTATTTGTGATCGTCAATCGTCAACATGTCAAAAGCAAATATAAACTAATAATGGAAAAAAAATGGAAGTAAAATTAAAATAAAAATTGAAGATTAGCGCCATCTCTAGAGTGCCATGGATGAAACAAAATATAGATGAGAGTAAATAATAAAAAAGAAAAGAGATAAGTTAAGAATTGAGGATTAGCGCTGTCTTTTGAGTACTTTTAGAAAGGGGATTCTTTAAAGAAATATTTTTCATACTCGAGAGTAGTATAGATGTTAGTATAGATGATTAATTCTTATTATATACTTTTCTATTTTTTTTTTTTTTTGTATTTAATTTTCATATTCTGAAGATTACGTTAATTTCAATATTTTTATTTTATCTTTGTCTTTCTTTCATTATTCGCTCTTCTTATTTATATTTATTCTGCAAAATTTATGCATTTATTTCAACAATTTCGATATCACATTAATTTCAAATTGTTTTTTAAAATAAAATTATAATAGAAATACATAGCTATACATTCTGACTATATTATATTAAATATTATATATACGGATTGATGTTCTCTATTATTTATACATAGATACACATTATTTTTAAATATATGTGAAATAGATCTTTCTGTGCTTTCACAATCGATATTTTAAAATTATTTTAACATTAAACATAAAATTTTATAATATTTTAGATCTATTATTTCTGCATTTCATTCAAAGTTTTATATTAAATATTAACTAATCGAACTTTTTATAAATGTTTTATTTGTGAGTAAAATATAATATTTAATATATTTATAATGATAATATTTAATATTTAATAATTATAATTTTATTTAATTTTATTTAAATAAAAATATCCATATTTTTTTAAAAATTCGAGTTAAATATTTTTCTTTATGATATAATCTTTCATATCTTTCTTTATACTATAATATAAAACAATGTAAAAAGCAATTGAAAAGTATGGATTTTTAAATATTAGATTTTTTAGTATAGATTGAAGTTGTTTAAGAAGAGGAAAATTTCTATAGCTCACTTCAATTTGGAATACTAATAGTTCAAAAATGGCGACTACCGCTAATTACGCTTTTTCTTCTGATGGTGAATATTTTGCACATTGTGGAAATGATGGAAAATTAAAAATTTGGGATACTAATACTGGTCGTTTAAAACAAGAATATGTTTCCAATTTTCATCTTTCTTCTCCATGTTGTATTTTGGAGTGGCTTTACATTAGTTCTCGTACCACAAATATATCGGTAAACCATGTGCTTCTTTATTTCATATCTTTATTAATGTTAAATTTTTTTATTTTATTACATATTCATCTTATGTATTATGATAAAATAAAAATTCTTTTATGAACTATCTTTTAAGTCTCATTATGAATGTTTATATTTTTTAATTAATCATACTTTGTATTCTTGCTTTATAGGTTATGTTTTCCATGCTTTTTACAATTTTTTATAAATTTTATAATATTAGAGATACTATAATTAGATTTTTAAAAATATTTTTAAAATACAAATATATTTTATTTCATAAATTCGTTCTTTTTAATCACATTTACTATTAAATCATGTTTATTTTAATAAAATCATATTTGAGGTTATAACTTTTATTCGCTATTCTATTTGTTAAATTTAATTAATAAATATTATATAAATATAGAGATTGAATATTTTAATAATTTTTAGCCTTCACCATGGAAAAAACGCAGAAGAAAATCAATTTCAGAAGAATCCATTCAAAAGGGTATTATTGCTATGGGTTCAACAAATGGAAAAATTACACTTTATGATACAACAACTTCCTCTGTTACTGCACAATTAGATGGTCATTCTGGTTCAGTTACTGCAGCAACATGGTCCGAAAATGTTGGGTTTATTACTGCATCAGATGATCATCATATTATTCAATGGAATCTTCAAGAAAATGGTGTAAAATGTAAATGGAAATCGGGAAAAGGAAAAACTACATCATTAGCAGTATCAACAGATGGAAATAATTTATTATCAGGAGAAAGAGTTGTCAAATGGTGGGATTTAAATACTAAGCAGTTAATAAGAATATTCACGGGTCATGCTAATCAAGTGACATGTCTTCATACTATAAAAATGACATCTGGAAATAATTATGTTATTAGTGGTGCTTATGGTGATAGTTACCTCAGTGTTTGGGCATTAGATGAAGTAAGATATTTTTTTTTCTTTTTATCTTAAAGTTTTTATTAATAATTTATATTTATTATAATATTCATATAATATTACGTTTGATCCCATGTGATTATTGTTTTATTCTGTGTTTTGAAATATCTTACAAAATATTCAAGTTACAAATATCTTACAGATAATTGCAAAAAATGAATGAAGCATTCATAAAACAATAAAAAAAATGTTTCATTTTTCTACAAGTAATTTTTTAATGATTAAATAAATAATCATATAATGAAACAATATATTCTTTTTTAAGCTTTAAGAATTTTTAGAATGTTAATAATATAAAATTATTTGTTTCAAAATGTTTTTAAAATGATTAAAATGATTATTATTAATAACTAAAATGATTTTTCATGAAAAAATAAATTGAAATTATGAATTTGAAATTATAAATAATATTTTTTTAAATAAAATTTTATTTTCAATATTTTTTATTATAAATTTATATATTTATTTATATATTTTGTAGAATACTATGCATTTTTCAATATTAATATATTAAAAAATTAATAAATCAAATATGTAATTATATTTCATTAATTAAGAAAATATTTTTAGCAAAGAAATGAAAGAACTTCTGTAGCAAGTTTAGCCTTACAAGATGATCCAATAAGTGTTTCTGCAAATGTCTCAGCAAATTCTCAAGTCATGGTTTTAGTTGTAACAAGATCTGGACAAGCACAGTTATTTCAATATCAACCAAATGGTCGATCAAAACCTTTAAAGCCCAGTTTAAATATTGCGGTTGCTTCTGATATAAGTCAAAAAGATGAAGTACAACAAATTTCTATTTTAAATGCAATGTTAACAGATGATCAGAAATTATTATTAGCATATGGAACATATCTTAATCCTACATTTGAAAAAGTAATACCAGATTTTTCTGATAAAGTGCAGTATTTAGTGCGTTCAGAATATAAAAGAAATAAAGAAAAAAAAGAAGAAATTTCTAAAGTGAAATCAACTATAATCGAAGACAATGTTGAATACCTTCCACCAGGTATTTTTTTTTAAATATTTAATTGTTATTAATATATAATGTAAAATTTATTTTTATCTTTTAAAATATCTTTTATTAATTATAAATATCTTGTATATTTATTTAAATTTTCAATATATAAATCAAATATAAATTAAAGATGTAGTATTTTCTTTCTATATAATGTTTTTTTCTAAATTGGTTTTTTTTTTTTTTGTTTTTTTTTTTAGGAATAATAGAAACTACGCAAAAGAAGAGTAAAAACAGTTCAGGATCTCAATTGTTATTGAAAGACAGATTGGAAAACTTAAGTTTAAGTGCTGAAAGCAGTTCTATAGGCAAAACTATTAGTACAGGTAACAACAGGACACAACTTCTAATACAAGGCTTGAACAGTAAAGATAAAACTATTTTGAGTAATATTTTGCTCACAAAGAATGAGTCCATTATTAAGAATACTATTGCTAAACTACCAATACAAGCAATTGGACCACTTCTTAAAGAACTCACTATCCTTCTCCAGGGTAAAACTTACACGTAAGATTTTTCAAATGTTAATTATTTTTTTTTTTTTATTATACTTAATCCCTTAATTGCAAACGCACATTTAAAAAAATCATTTACAAAAGAAAACGTATTTCTTATGAAATTAACATAATATTATATTTTATCATTTTATTTCATTTTAACGAAATTGTGGAATTATATACGAATATTTGAAAATATATCTTTGAATTTTCAGAAAAAAAAATATAATTACTTTCTCATTTCAAAATTTTTATCCAATGTTTTGTTTAATAAATCAAAGTGATATAATAAAATTTCTTCGATTTATATCGAAATAATCGTGAATTAACAGAATATTTTGTTTAATCCATGGACAGAAAATTGACATTCATTTGCACAAAAAAAATTAATTATGATTAAAAATAATATTATTGTTATTATTATTATTTATTTTGGAAGGAAATCTTAAGTTATATTTTTTAATAATATTGTATAAATAATAAAATCAGTTTTTAATTTTTTTAAAAATTATTTTAAAAAATAAAAACCTATATAAATAAATGCAATCGATATTTTCTTCACATCTTACAGTGAATTCATAAATTATTTTTTATACTTTTCTCCATAAAATTGTAAAAACTATATTAACTGAAGAATTCGCGTTGACTACGAGCATTAGTATAAAATTGGAACTTGGTCAAATATATTTTTCGTCGAATCAAGACTGTAAAGTGAAACAAAATTATATTATTATAATAATTATTAATACTCTAAATACGCGGCTCGGATTCGGAAGTAGAACAGATTTAAGGTATGAATCTTTAGTAACTCGCGTTTATTGATCAAAGAA